TGTCTTGTTAACAATTTTTTAATTTAGATGAAACAATTCGTATTTTAACATAAATTTCACATTGAAAATCTTGTAAAACAAGGTCATCCGCCGCCATTGGGAGGCAATTGATGTATAATTAGGAGGGAATTCGACATATCGAAAATTTTAACCCTAATTAAAAACAGGTATATGGGAGGGAACTAGGCATTATCCAACTATAACTGAAAAATTTTAAAATGTCTACTATTTTCCGTAGTTCGAGCATATTTTAATTTACTTTTTTGACGGACTTCTTAGCTTAAAAATTTCATCCAGAATTTTGGAAAATGACTTGACGCATTTAATGTATGTCGTTTCTGATGGTAGCAGAAATTTAAATTAGCATGTGTGTTGTCTGTTTTTGAAAAATTTAGCAAAATTAAATTCATCGCGCACCCATTTGGTATTCAAATCAAACTTTGAAAATGTCTTTGTATACACCAATATCCGCATAAACATCTGCTGATTCTGACGACTTAAATTGATTTTCAATCAAATTTAATCACTTTAACAAATCTTAATTCACACATTAAATTAGTAAGCTACATCTCCGCAAGGTGCCATCTGCTTTTGATAGGTACGTCGGCAAAGAGTAAAACCAAAATCTTAGCGCCTTTTTGACAAATTTCATCACGAAACTTTGCAAATATCTTTGTCAACGGCAATGTCTGCTTTTTATTTACTGATTCAAATATACTACAGAATGTAAAACCTTGGCACTAATTTGGTATCTATAGTTACAATTTTTGACTTGAAACTTTGAAAATGGCCTAGTATGCATCAAGATGTACTATTCTTGAAGGTTCGAGCAGATTTTAACTCGGATTTTAAATTTATTACTTGCGGCCTCGCAAAGTCTCACCTGCTTTTGACAAAACAAACAATATTCAAATATTTGTGCATATCTTTGGCGTAGTTACAATTTTTATCCCATTATTTTGAAAATGTCCTGGTATACACCAATATGTATTTTTGACGTGACAACGTCTTATAATTCGATGGAGCTGGTTGCACGCACGAAAAAGCATGACTCATGCGGCGTTACCTCGTTCTGAGGCGTTCCATTTAAGGCTTGAAGTGAAAGCGAGAGCGCGGAACGAGCGACAAAGAGGCATAATCGGCCTCCGCGTTCGGCAGCGTTCGACATCTGTCTCTCTCCTACTTGAGTGAGCGATGCGTCCGCGTGGACAGCTGCTATACAATAATACATTTCCATTTACCTCCTCTATATCCATACAAAATATCTATCAAACAAAATTAAAATTTTCTTTTGAAAAATGAAACCATTCCATCAGTATTTTCTTATGACGTTGTCACATTCAACTATAGTCAGTAAACCGACTTTACAGACAACCGATGTTTTCCTATGGTTTCGGCAGATTTGAACTTGGACTCCAAATTTACGAACTACAGCTCTGCAAACTGTCATTTGTTTCTAATAAATCAAACAAAATCCATCTTTTTGTGCACCTTTTAGGCATAGTTATAGATTTTGTCTCGAAATATTGAAGTTGTCTCTACATGAGCCAATATGTGCTCTTTCCAACGATTCGAGTTGATTTTAATTTGGTCTTCAAATTTACCAGCTACAACTCTGCTATGCTGTTCCTGATGGTTCGATGAAATTTGAATTCGGACTCCAAATCGACTGCCTACGGCTTTCCGAAGTCTCTTCTATTGTTGATGAAGCAAACTAAATTGAAATCATCGCTCACATTTTTCGCATAGTTACAATCTTGGGTCGGCTCTAGCGCGGATCAGGAGTGTCACAATTTACAACTGCTTTCGTCGAAAACTTGCCGCGTTCATTGGGCTTCGAACGAGCCAAGTTTGGTGCGGATCGGACGTCGACCTGCGGAGCTACGGATTTTTAAACGCGACCATGTTTGCGAGCGCACAACTCCTATGTTTGACGTTTTGCGAGCTGTAGCTCGAAAACGGTAGGACCTATCGGAAAAATTCTTTTACAGACGGATGCCCCGTCTCGGTGCGAACGATTTGGACCGTATCCGGTCGAATTTGGTGTTGATGAAAAATTCAAAATTTTTAAAAATTTTTTTATTTTTTTCTCTTCGAAATTAAATTTTTCCTGTACATTTAGGTACGGGCTAACCGTTGGTGAAAGAATTTTTGCGCTATCATTAACAGTTCGTGTGATATGTTCTTCTAAACATTTTATTCTCGATTGGGAAAATAACACTTGGCTAAAACTTCCGACAGCTATAACTCCGAAACAGAACATCGTAAGTTGGCGCTTTTACTCTCGACGGAGAGGACAGTATGTCTAGAAAATTTTAATAGTACTCCCATAAAGATCGGACAATTCTGTCCGGAAATAGGGGTCATCCTGTAGCCTCAGGAAAAAAGTAAAACGAACAAAAAGAAAATTTCGCCAATTGGGTCGGCTCTAGCGCGGATCAAGAGTGTCACAATTTACAACTGCTTCCGTCGAAAACTTGCCGCGTTCATTGGGCTTCGAACGAGCCAAGCTTGGTACGGATCGGACGTACACCTGCGGAGCTACGGATTTTTAACCGCGACCATGTTTGCGAGCGCACAGCTCCTATGTTTGACGTTTTGCGAGCTGTAGCTCGAAAACGGTAGGACCTATCGGAAAAATTCTTTTACAGACGGATGCCCCGTCTCGGTGCGAACGATTTGGACCGTATCCGGTCGAATTTGGTGTTGATGAAAAATTCAAAATTTTTAAAAATTTTATTATTTTTTTCTCTTCGAAATTAAATTTTTCCTGTACATTTAGGTACGGGCTAACCGTTGGTGAAAGAATTTTTGCGCTATCATTAACAGTTCGTGTGATATGTTCTTCTAAACATTTTATTCTCGATTGGGAAAATAACACTTGGCTAAAACTTCCGAAAGCCATAACTCCCAAACGGAACATCGTATGTGGGCGCTTTTACCCTCGACGCAGAGCACAGTATGTCTAGAAAATTTTGATAATACTCCCATAACGATCGGACAATTCCGTCCGGAAATAGGGGTCATCGTGTAGCCTCAGGAAAAAAGTAAAACGAACAAAAAGAAAATTTCGCCAATTGGGTAGGCTCTAGCGCGGATCAAGAGTGTCACAATTTACAACTGCTTCCGTCGAAAACTTGCCGCGTTCATTGGGCTTCGAACGAGCCAAGCTTGGTACGGATCGGACGTACACCTGCGGAGCTACGGATTTTTAACCGCGACCATGTTTGCGAGCGCACAGCTCCTATGTTTGACGTTTTGCGAGCTGTAGCTCGAAAACGGTAGGACCTATCGGAAAAATTCTTTCACAGACGGATGCCCCGTCTCGGTGCGAACGATTTGGACCGTATCCGGTCGAATTTGGTGTTGATGAAAAATTCAAAATTTTTAAAAATTTTTATATTTTTTTTTCTTCGAAATTAAATTTTTCCTGTACATTTAGGTACGGGCTAACCGTTGGTGAAAGAATTTTTGCGCTATCATTAACAGTTCGTGTGATATGTTCTTCTAAACATTTTATTCTCGATTGGGAAAATAACACTTGGCTAAAACTTCCGAAAGCCATAACTCCCAAACGGAACATCGTATGTGGGCGCTTTTAACCTCGACGCAGAGCACAGTATGTCTAGAAAATTTTGATAATACTCCCATAACGATCGGACAATTCCGTCCGGAAATAGGGGTCATCGTGTAGCCTCAGGAAAAAAGTAAAACGAACAAAAAGAAAATTTCGCCAATTGGGTAGGCTCTAGCGCGGATCAAGAGTGTCACAATTTACAACTGCTTCCGTCGAAAACTTGCCGCGTTCATTGGGCTTCGAACGAGCCAAGCTTGGTACGGATCGGACGTACACCTGCGGAGCTACGGATTTTTAACCGCGACCATGTTTGCGAGCGCACAGCTCCTATGTTTGACGTTTTGCGAGCTGTAGCTCGAAAACGGTAGGACCTATCGGAAAAATTCTTTCACAGACGGATGCCCCGTCTCGGTGCGAACGATTTGGACCGTATCCGGTCGAATTTGGTGTTGATGAAAAATTCAAAATTTTTAAAAAATTTTATATTTTTTTTTCTTCGAAATTAAATTTTTCCTGTACATTTAGGTACGGGTTAACCGTTGGTGAAAGAATTTTTGCGCTATCATTAACAGTTCGTCTGATATGTTCCTCTAAACATTTTATTCTCGATTGGGAAAATAACACTTGGCTAAAACTTCCGAGAGCCATAACTCCGAAACGGAATCTCGTAGGTGGGCGCTTTTACTCCCCACGCAGAGCACAGTATGTCTCTAAAATTTTGATAATACTCCCATTAAGATCGGACAATTCGATCGGGAAATAGGGGTCATTTTGTAGCCTCAGGAAAAAAGTAAAACGAACAAAAATAAAATTTCGCCAATTGGGTCGGCTCTAGCGCGGATCAGGAGTGTCACAATTTACAACTGCTTCCGTCGAAAACTTGCCCCTTTCGTTGGGCTTCGAACGAGCCAAGTTTGGTACGGATGGTGAAAGAATTTTTGCCCTATCTTTAATTGTTCGCCAGAAATGTTCTAAACGTTTTGTTCTCGATTGGGAAAATAACCCTTGGCGAGAACTTCCGACAGCCTTTATCGAAATCGGGGCGTTCAATCCGAAAATATGAACTGGACCGTGGACTTAGGAAAACTACAAAACGAGGGTGAGGGTAAATTCCGTGAATTAGTTGAGCTCTACCGCAAACCCGGACGGTTAGATTTGATGACTCCTCTAAAAATTGACCACATTTTCGTTTGGCTTCGAACGAGTCCTGTTTGGTGAATATAGGTTTTTGGGCGGCGGAGCTCCGGATTTTCAAGTGCTGTCGTGTTCGTAAGCTCGAGACTTCTCAATTTTAGCTTGAAGTTCAATTAAGAGGACTAGAAAGAATTCACTTATACATATATTACTATTTCTAGCTATCGGTTTTGGATTGAATTATAATAAAAATTTATGCCAGTTTTAGGATTTTTTCTATTTTTTCCAGGAACTATTTTGGTATCCGAAAATGACAGCCTCAGAACTCACTAAGGAAATGGTTGGAATTGGAGAAATATTTTGCAATTTGGACAGTTTTGGAAAAAGATAAGTGAAATTTTTTATTCTTTTGTGTTTCCATACGGCTTGCTTTTCATAAAACTAGGAATTTTTCTTAATTAAGCAAGAGTCAGTCGTCATTGAAAAATTTTCACTTAGGGTAAGATATATGTACCTTTTTCTTCATTATTTTTTAAAACTATCGAAAAAAGAGTATCAACACAAAATTCCAACAATAAGGTTACTTTTTAAATTTAACAATTTAAGCGTTCATAAATGTATTTAACATTTTTAGAAGCAAAAAATTTTAAAAGCATACAAAACAGAAAATAATCCAATGATTACTGCATACTTTAAATATTCAATTGGAATTTTAAACTTAACAAAATTTCATCTATAACTGAGAAAAGCTTTTTTTCCGAGTGTAATTTTCTTTTCTTTCTTTTCCGAATACTTGCTCTCTCTGCCAGACAAAAATATTGCTAAAGGATCTGTTTTTATTAATTGTGTAATTGATAAAGTGTGAATTTATTTTTTAATTGGTACTGGGTAAGTCTTTTTTTGAATGGCAATTGCGTTTTATTGCAATTTCATTTTTCGGTACAATTAAGTTAAAATTAGACAAAAATTATCTCATTAGTTGTAGGTAGTTGGTTTAATTATTTATTCTGGCATACTTATTCGAAATTTGGTTATTACGGCTCACGTCTTCAGAATTATGTTATGAAATTTGAGCAGAATTTATCTGATTTTTTTTGTATTTCATTCGATTTCAAGAAGTAACTGTTGAACAGAAAGCTCTCGATAATAAATAACACGATTATCTAGGTTTGACGGTCGCGGGAAGGTTATTTTGCCCATATTGTGTTTATTAGTGTATTCGTGTGAATACTTGTTTGCTCGACAAAGAAATACGAAATTTTATTAAGAAATTAATCATAGATGTTTAGTTCTGTGCGTTCATTTTTGTTAGACGGGTGTGGTTTTTAACTCTAGATTATTATCAACTGTATTTTGGATTAATAATTTCTGGTGAGTTTGATAGCTGGATAATTTTTGCTTGTTGTTAGGATTAATAAGTCGTATACATATTATTTAATTCGAATATTTCTCCATTGCTGTAAAGTGTTGTTATTATTGTATTAATTTGTTTGTAAGAGAGCTTTTTTGTTTTACTGAGTACCTAGTATTTTTTATGATACAAATTTTAACATGAACTTCAGATAAGTAAGCAACAAATAAATACACTTATAGATTTTATACAAATATCTGTGTCGTTAATTGTTGCTTATTAATTAAGTCATAATCTATTTTACTTTTTTTCTTAGGGCGGCGGTCAAAAAATATATAACTAATGTTTTTTTGTATGAAGGTTTATTTAACTATCATCACACCTTTCGAAGTTTTAATGCTCACATTTGTCTTCAGTTCATGTTAATTCACACAATACTCAGTAGTATTATTTATTATTAGTTATATATTTTTTGATCACCACCCTGAAAAAAAGTTATAATTTTAACGGTTAGGATATCGAGGGTATATTAAAACATAATAACAATTTATACCAATTTAAGAATTGTTTTTCTATCTTTTTCAGAAAAAATATTCTAAACCAAAACTACAATGCCTCAAGATGTTTTCTAAGAAAATGGTCGCAATTTTGGAGTGTCTACTTGTTGATAATTTGGACAATTTTGGTTAGTCGCAACATAAAAAAGATAAAATGGCTCCACTTTTGGAGTATCTACTTGCTCGCAAATTGGACAATTTTGGTTAATCGCAGCATAAAAAAGATAAGTTAACACTTTTTTATATTTTTATTTAATTATGTACAGGATGCATTTTCTAATTTGATACCACCCTTTATCTTCATAAAAAGCTTACGAAATTGATATTTAAAGTACTAACCTCACGCTAAAAAATTTTCCTGAAAGTGTCTTTGGGAACACGATATAGTGCTATCTTTGTCTCTCTCATTGCGGTTGAGCTGAAATGACGTCTGGTACGAGATCTCAACAACAACTCACCCAAAGGACATGTCAAACGTGCCTTCTAGCAGTTTCTGAGCCAGTTTCGTGCAATAAATGTCTGAAACTATTCCATCCCCAATGTATGAACTTTTCAAATTTTGTTTTTGAATGGAGAAAATACAAGGGTTGTGGACCATGCTTCTTTGCGGCTACTGAAGCCTCCGTCCCAGAGAACTGTAGGTTAATTGAAATATAATAAAGAAAAACTCTTACCTATTACAGCGGGGCTGAATAATGGTGGCCTTGGGTGGTTAANGTACGGGCTAACCGTTGGTGAAAGAATTTTTGCGCTATCATTAACAGTTCGTCTGATATGTTCCTCTAAACATTTTATTCTCGATTGGGAAAATAACACTTGGCTAAAACTTCCGAGAGCCATAACTCCGAAACGGAATCTCGTAGGTGGGCGCTTTTACTCCCCACGCAGAGCACAGTATGTCTCTAAAATTTTGATAATACTCCCATTAAGATCGGACAATTCGATCGGGAAATAGGGGTCATTTTGTAGCCTCAGGAAAAAAGTAAAACGAACAAAAA